GGTTCTTGTAGAACGGGCTTGACTTTCTCAAACGGAAGTTCCTTTCTCTTTTCGGTGTTGTCGCGCACTGATTCCTCATCATCGTTGCTATCACTAACTTCTTCAATAATCACAGGTTTCCTCGGTTTCTCTCGTCGCTCAGCTCGCTTATCATGGTCCTCAGAGGGCTTGGCTGAGTTTGTGGGTTTAGCCCCCTTCCTTGAACCATTTAGAAACCCGAGTTGTTATCGTCGCGCTCAGGTTGGCTATTCGCACCACGACGGGTTTGAATGAACTGCTCCTGAGTCTGAGGATAACCACTGTTCATGTTGTTGAAGTAGCCGGCCATGGCGTCGGTCATGGCTTTCTGCATGAATTGGCCCATGGCACTTTCCATTACATTACTGGTCGAACCAGATGCAGTTCTTTGAGTCTTTGGCTCAGCGCGACTCTCTGGGGTTGGCCGCGACGACTTCCTCTCGTATTGGATGAGTTGACTTCGAAGGGAGCGTATCTCATCTGCCACTTCTTCAGGGTAGTCGGACATATCATCATTGTCGTGGCTATCGAACTGATCCAAGTAGTAAGAGTCTTGGAAGTTGACGGACTTGCCCTTCTTCTTCCAATAAGCCTCTACTCGTTGTCCCTGAGTCCCTTCTCCATTTGGTAAGAAGCTGTCGTCGAAGAGCCTCCACATCCCTTTGGTGTCGACCTTGAGAAGGTTTTTCTCAATGTGAGACCTCTTGAGCGGGCACTCGTTCGACCAATGACCAGTTTGTCCACAGTAGCGACAGTCGTCGTTTCGTGCGGCAGCTCCTCCTTGTGCGCGACTTTCAAAGTGGGGCACAGAAGAGTTGTTGCCTACTGGCCGCGACTGCTGTATGGGCGCTTCGCGAGCAGTCTGTACGAACGTCTTCAGCGCTTCCTGCAACTGAGTCTGTAGCTCTTTTTGGTGTAGAAGAAATGAGTCCTTCAAGTTGGAAATCGAGTTTTCCAACTCCTCAACCTTAGCATGGTTGGGTGGACTGGTCTCATAGTCGAAGCGAACCTTGGGAGGCCGCGCGATTATGGGAATTTCGTCTTTGTTGCTCAACGTCGACGCCATTTCTTCCGCCATTGTCATTAGTTCTTTCAGCTGGATGGGGTCGTCCTGCCGGTTGACTCCAGTTGCGGGAACATTAGCGTTTGCTATCCCGGCGCGAGTTTGGTAGCGCTTATTGAATACTCGACTCGTAGCCAAAGCATTTCGCAAGACGGTACTGAACTCGGAGTCCAAAGTACGCATGTAGCGTTCACACGCGACTTTGTTGGTAATAATGGCAGGAGGGACTGACAGTCGCTTATAGTGACTGTACATTTGAAGGCCAAAACGCTTCAAATCTCCCTCATCCGTTATTTTGATTCCACGGTTCTCGCGACAGAGTCTATCTAGATCTGCCATGGTCCCCGTTTTTCGCTTGGACACCTCAGGGTACCCTTTTAATATTTCGGCCTCGAACTCCGCAACAGTTTTCGTGTCGTCGGAATAGGTATCGAGACCTTCCCATACGTCCATCACTTGCCGCGACGGCAAATAACGAATGTACATGCTTTTCGCTTGTTTGACATCTGTGATGCCACCATCCTCCACGATCTGCGCGCAGTGACGCAAATATGCCTCAATCGACAGGGGATCCTTTTCATCAAGTATAGGTCTACTTGTGTCCCAAGGTTGAGGGATTTTGAACCCAGTCTTTGGAGCCATAGTTGTCGCGACTGAAGTCACAGGGGAAGTAGGGATGTTGTTAGAATTCGTGTTTGTAGCGGTGACGCTACTAGACAATTCTGAGAGGGTTTGTGAGCTAGTCTGAGATCGACTGATTGTCGTCGAGCTCGAAGTAGCCGCGTCTAAAGCTGGAAGCTTCGACGTCGAATTCACTCTTTGTTTCCCTTTTGCCTTGGAAGGCAAGGGTGGTAGATACAAAGGTGTTTTATGTCTTGCAGACCTTCGTGGTTTTTCGAAAGGTCCTGAAGTTGAAGCGTTTCCTTCAGTCTCAATCTCCGCTTGGTCCTCGAGAGGTCGCGCAGGAGCTTGGGATCGAAATAAACTGCTTCGCGGGATAAACCCTTGGTCTCTATCCGACGTCGCGGTAAAGAATCCGGTTTATTGATTTTTAAAGTTTATGAGACTTTTAGAAGCCCCTCGCGGTGGGCTCCAGATGAAATGCTGAGGGCGTGCTCACAAGTGAATCTACTATGAAAGTAAACCCAAATATAAACACGTTCACACTCCTCGTAATCAGCTTCTCAGTGTGTGAAAGATGCGAGGGCTTCGGGGTGGACAGAGCACCAGTATCACAACTCTCAATAGACGCAGATCCAATAGTCGCGGAGACGGAGTCGACGACAAGAATATATATATAGCAAACAATGGTATCTCAACCAATATCTTCTATACGAGCACAACCAACACTAATACAATCCACAACCAACGATATAACAAGTCAGAGCTTAATACGAAGTATTAAGATCCCTTGTAGCGACAGCGTCTAGATGGTGACGCAAAGCCCAAATATCAAGTCGACGCACTGCCGACCGATACAACCAATATACTGAGTCGACGCACTGCCAACTAGTAGAACCAAAATGTCAAGTCGACGCACTGCCAACTGACACAACCAAAAGTACTGAGTCGACGCACTGCCAACTAGTAAACCAAAATGCCGCGTCGACGCACTGCCAACTAACAGCCAATATCCAATGTCCAAAACCCGAGCACAACTTGTCGACGCACTGCCAAGCAAGAAGTGTGGAACCAAAGTTCTCAAGTCGACGCACTGCCAACTGACCAAAACAACCCGAGCACAACTAGTCGACGCACTGCCAAGCTAGAGGTGTGGAACGATCTCAACAAAGCCCGAAGGCGACGACACTAAATGCCGCGACTAAACCAGATGCGGCGAATCCGACTTTCTGATGTCTCAACTCAAACTCAAATCACAGTAGCTACAAGTGCTCAGGGAGCAACTCGTCGCGACCGGGCAGGGGTAGCAGAACTTCTTAGGGTGGAATCACACGGCACGCAAATTGTACAAAACAATCTGAAATGAGAGTGATTCACAGTCCGGGGGAAAGCTTTCTAATACAAAGAAACGTCGTGCTACTTATACTGTCTACGACGATGCTTAGTAAAGTCCTGTACAACTGCATAGTAGCTACGCTATCTAAGATCGGTTGCCTTTTAGGGTAATTGAAAGTTGAACGATCGGACAGGTCCTGAGTGATCAGGACCCCGCCCCATTGTCCATATGATACTTTTGATGTGGGCCAACTCACCGCGTCATACTTTTGGAATACGACGTGCTGGATTGGCCAACGGGTATGTCTTGGCATGTGAGACCAACGTGGGCGCCCCAAGAAGCCGTATGGCCCTAGGCACGCCAGTCGTCCCCCACATGGTTCGGTTCACGGATCTAGCCGTGTCAGTTTCTAGTGTGTTTGGGTATGGGCGCGACTCGCCGTGACACTTGGAAGTGTCACCGCGACGCGTCCACAGTGTCCCGTGATCGAATGGATCCTGACATGTGACAAGTCGTCGTCGTGGCATGATCTGAGGAAACGTCCAACCCAAAACCGGGAGTTGCCGCGACAAGATGGTTTAAGTCTTGTAACGCCAAGTCCTGTCCAGTAGTAGTTCTATTATTGAGAACGTCGTGCATTGCTCAGCCCTTCAGCCCAAGTTCCCATCTGCAGAGAATGACCCTTTTTGAGAAGTCGACGCAACGACAGATCCCTTTTTTGGGGAATGGTCGCGGTCCAAGCATTCGTCACTAATGGCCCTGAGCCTGGTGTAGACTCATAAGACCAGTTCCACAGTAGTGGTCTGACTGCCTTGCTATCGTCGACACTATCCACAGTCGTCGACTGGGCAGTAGACCCATAAGTCCTACTGAGCGCAACACTGTCAACCGCGACACAATACACCGAATGGTTCAAGAGTAAACTCTGTAAAAAGCGCAAAAATACGCCCTTACAGAGCTGGTGCAGAGCGCGTCTGGTAGCCAGCCTATCACCGTGCGTAGTCAGTATCGATACAGCAGGTACTGCAGCCGCTATCAAGCAGCGCCTTGACTCCGCGCGTTTTTCCCGAGTCCAGACCCGTGATCTGGACATATACGTCCATCGAATGCCTCTTCCTTTCGGCCTGGTAACTGCGCAATTCCTGCGCCAACCTGCTGGGCTGGGGGCCCTTCTGTTTCTCGGCCGCCAATTTCCTCTGGATGGCATCTGGCACCCTGGTGCGTTTGGGTGCTTCTGGAACCTTGATTTCGGCAGATTCCTTAGGCGCTTCCTCCTTTTCCAAGGATTGAGCCTTCGGAGCGATGCTCCCCTTTTCGGTCTTTGTTGACGTGGTTCCTTCTCCACGAGCCATAAATACGTATGAATCCAAAATTAATTTATCTGCAGCTTTCTGATCCTTTTTACTTTGTAAATACTCTCTATTTAAAGTTATTTTTCTTTTGTCAGGGGAACCCCTGCTTTTGTCCGATCATCATGGGATCTCGCATGTGACCACGCACGTGCTATCTGTCAAGCGTCACATGCTTCAGTCCGGACTCCCCTGCCAAGCGCGTCCACATGACACTCCGGCCCGGACCCCCATTGTTCTGACGGTCCGGCTCCCATTGTTCCCCCCGATCCGGCCCCTCATTGTTCCCTGGCCCTATTGTCTGGCGCTTCCATTGCGCTTGGTCATCCATTGTTCTGTAGGCTATATATAGTGGGCCCTGACAAGGAGAGCCCCCAACTCGGTTTCTCTTTGGACTCTCCCTTGTCAGGTTTGCCAGTCTCCTGTACTAGTTGATCCCCTTATCTGACGCTTTGGACTCTCCCTTGTCAGGACTCTGAGATCGGGCCTCGAGGTTGCCCTTACAGCAGAAACCGAGTTCCTAGGGATAACTGGACAAGCTTGTGAAGACCACCGACAGCGCCATCCGCTTCTCACTTCCAACCTTGTCCCCTCCTCCCCCTCTACGATCGTCATGTCCCAAATGGAAGAAGAGGACGACCCCTCCCACCCCCAACAGAGGCTTGCGAATCTAGAGGAAGCCATGCAACGGATGGAAGGCCTCCTCCACAATCTCATAATTACACAGCAACAGCCTGCCCCTGCCCCTGCCCCTGCTCCGTCTCCGGCAGTGGGTCCAGGTGTATCTATTGGCCAACAGGCCAGCACGAGACCCCTCATCCGCCCCAACCCCCCATTCGCGTTCGACGGGGATCGCACCCAGGGCAAGACGTTTCTCCATTCCGTCAAGCAATACTGGCGCCTCCTCCCTGAGGCCTTCCATGTGAACGGGGTAGTATCATAAGAGCGGGTGGTACGTTTCGCCCTCTCCTACATGTCCAAGGACTCGGCGGCCTCCTGGTCAGAACGCATGTCAGAGCGCCTCGTCTTCCCATTCCCGACCTGGTCCTCCTTCGTGGCCGAGTTCAAGCTCCGGTTTGTCAAGGAGAACGAGCAAGACCATGCCCTGGCACGACTGGAGACCCATGCTTACTACATGGGATCCCGCGACGTGTTCAAATACACGGACGAGTTCGACGACCTTCTCGACTTGGCGGGGTACTCCGACAACTTGGTCAAGGTCACCAAGTACCGGGCGGGTCTGGACCCCAGAATCAATCAGGCGATCACTACCTCCGGTAACCCGCCTAGCCTCACCAACTACTCGGAGTGGCGTACCCGCGCATTCCGCCAGTACAACGCCGAGGTGGCTGCCCGAGCCGCACGAGGACAGGTGTTCTCTCCACCCCGCGCTCCACCTCCTGCGGCTCCCCGCCCTCGCCCCATGGCTCCTCCGGTGGTCGCCCCACCCCCTGCTCCCCGACCAGCCCCGGTAGTCCTCCCACCGGGCATTCCCATGGAGATCGACCGAACCCGAGCCCGCAGCAGTGTCCGTCGCACATGCTTCCGATGCGGCAGCCCAGGACATTTGGCCCGAGACTGCCCGACCCCCGCTGATGTCCGGCACACCGACGTCCTGGACGAAGTGATCAATCAACTGGGAAGCGACCTGTTGGCGGAATTAGTAGCCCGGGTAGCAACCACGGCGGCCGTAGAAGAGCATGAAGCGGAGATTGCTGACGAGTTGGAGCAGGGTTTTCTCCCCCGCGACGAGTGAATAGTACGCCCTCGATCGCCTCACATAATCGTTTTGAATGTCTGTATGATGAATGCGACCTCATTTCCCCCACAAACGAAACGATAGACGTACCTCCTGCCCCCCGCTCAGTCCCGCTGGTCCGCAAGGAAAAGTGGGAACGAAAACTCCCTCAGCGCTATGTGGTTGCGGCCTCCCCTGGCGCCAACTCCCTGCACCTCCCCCTGGAGATCCAGTCCACCGACAACGCAGTCCAGCTCTCTCTCAACGGACTGGTCGACTGCGGCGCCACATCGGACTTCATCGACTCCACCTACGCCTCTGAAAACCGACTTCCAGTCCGGCAGCTCTCCCAGCCTATCCCAGTCCACAATGTGGACGGCACGCCAAACGAAGCTGGCTCCATTCAACAAGTTGCCGACGTGGTCCTGCGTTACCAAGGACACAGTGAGCGGGTCCAGCTTGCTGTCACTCGGCTTGGCAAGCAGAAGCTGATCCTCGGCTACTCTTGGCTTTGGAAGCACAACCCGGAAATTAACTGGGACACGCAAGAAGTAAAGATGAGCCGCTGCCCGTCCGGCTGCTCCACCTGCACCGAGGAGTCTCGCCAAGAGAGACGGATAGCCCAAATTTCGGCCCGAGCACTCCGGTCAGCCCGACAAGGTCCCGCCCCCTCCATCTGCGTCGTCGACATGGAAGACCGCGAAGACGAGGCTATGCCGCTACTCCAGGAAGACAACGGAGAGGATTCCGATGAAGAAGAAGACTGTCTGGAAGCCGGTGACCGTATCTTCTACACCCGTTTCAACCCTTCTGAAGACATCCGAGCCACTAGCACCGTCTCCCAGCGCCTCGCAGAGGCGTTTGCCAAGAACTCCGCCCCCTCTCGAGATTCCATACCCGAGTGGGCGCGCGAGTTCGAGGATGTTTTCAGCAAGGAATCCTTCGACAATCTTCCGGAACGTCGCCCTTGGGACCACGCCATCGAACTGGTACCTGATGCAAAGCCAACAAACTGCAAGGTCTACCCTATCTCCCCCTTGGAGCAGAAGCAGCTCGACGCTTTCATCGAAGAAGGCATGGCCACCGGCCGAATCCGACCCTCGAAGTCCCCCATGGCCTCCCCCGTCTTCTTTGTCAAGAAGAAGGATGGCAGCCTACGGTTTGTCCAGGATTACCGGGCACTGAACGCAATGACAGTGAAGAATCGGTACCCCCTTCCCTTGATCAACGACCTGATCAACAAGCTCAAGGGAGCCCGCTTCTTCACCAAACTCGATGTTCGATGGGGCTTCAACAACGTACAGATACGAGAAGGAGACGAGTGGAAGGCTGCATTTTGGACCAACCGCGGGCTCTTTGAGCCACTGGTGATGTATTTCGGCCTTACCAACTCCCCTGCGACGTTCCAGACCATGATGAATGACATCCTCCAGGACCTCATCCTCTCGGGCGACGTCATGGTGTACCTGGACGACATCCTCATTGTGCACTCCGACCCTCACCTCCATCGTCGTATTGTGAACGAAGTCCTCCGGCGCCTCCGCGAAAACAAGCTGTATCTCCGAGCCGAGAAGTGCGAATTCGAGATGGAGTCTATCAAATACCTTGGCGTGATCATCTCCCACAACCACGTCGAGATGGACCCCGTCAAGGTGGCAGGCGTAGCCGAATGGCCGGCCCCCTCTAACAAGAAGGAAGTGCAGCAGTTCCTTGGGTTCACTAACTTCTATCGGAGGTTTATCCGGGACTTCTCACACGTTGCACGCCCGCTCTTCGACCTCACCAAGAAGGACGCACCGTGGTCTTGGGGCGACAACGAGTCCACTTCGTTCCAGGCCTTGAAGGATGCAGTTACCTCTACGCCGGTTCTTCTCCTCCCAGACTCCTCTCGCCCTTACCGCCTAGAAGCTGACAGCTCCGATTTTGCCACAGGAGCCGTCATCTCGCAGCAGTCCCCCTCGGACGACAAGTGGCACCCAGTCGCCTTCTTCTCCAAGAGCCTCAACGACGTCCAGCGCAACTACGAGATCCACAACAAAGAGATGCTTGCAATTGTGCGAGCGCTGGAGGAGTGGCGGCACTTCTTGGAGGGCGCCGAACACCCCGTGGAGATCTGGACCGATCACAAGAACCTGGAGTACTTCCGCAAGGCCCAGAACCTCAATCGCCGGCAAGCCCGATGGTCGCTCTACCTATCCCGGTTCGACTTCACGCTCCACCACCAGCCCGGCCGGCTCATGGGACGACCAGACGCACTCTCCCGACGCCCGGACCACGGAGCCCCTTCGGACAACACAGATGTCACCCTGCTGAGGCCGGAACTGTTCCATGTGCGTGCACTCGAGGGACTTTCCGTCTCTGGCCCGGAAGCCCCGCTTGTCCGTGACATTTGGGAATCGCTCTCCGGTGACCCTGACCTTGAGGAAGAACTTGCGCTTATAGCGCGACGGCTTCTGAAGGGGATGAAGGGGGCCTGCTCCGCTGTAGCAGCGGAATGGCGCATCCAGGACGGCCTCCTCTACTTCTGTGGGAAGCTAGTGGTTCCGCGTGACAAAGACCTTCGGCGACGCATCCTTGAGCAACACCACGACACCCGCGTTGCGGGGCATGCTGGCCGCTTCAAGACGCTGGAGCTGGTCTCCCGGAACTACTGGTGGCCCCAGCTCTCACAACATGTTGTCCGGTACATGGCCACCTGCGACCTGTGCTGTCGGACCAAGGCCCTCCGACGACTCCCCACCGGAGAGCTTCACCCCACGGAGATCCCCTCGGAACGTTGGGAATCGGTGTCGGTGGACTTTATCGTGGAGCTGCCTGAGGCGCACGGCTACGACGCCATCATGGTGGTCGTTGATATGCTGGGGAAGCGTGCCCACTTCATCGAGTGCCACACTCGCCTCTCGGCCGAAGGGATGGCTCGGTTGTTCTACAAGCATGTCTGGCGACACCACGGATTACCCATCAAATACGTCTCGGACCGTGGCCCTCAGTTTGTGGCAGACTTCACCCAAGAGCTATGGAAGCTGGTTGGCGTCTCCCCTGCCACGTCCACCGCTTACCACCCGCAGACTGATGGCCAGACCGAACGGGTCAACCAGGAGTTGGAGCAGTACCTCCGGATCTTCACCAGCTACAAGCAGGACGACTGGGACAAGCTCTTGCCCGCAGCTGAGTTCGCTTACAACAACCACGTCCACTCCTCGACCCAGCAGGTTCCCTTCATGACGGACACAGGACGTTTACCACGCATGGGATTCGAGCCAACAGAGCAGCGCTCCACCTGAGCAGAGTCTGCCAACGAGTTTCTTGACCGAGTCGCATCGGGTGTAACGGAGGCTAAATCAGCACTGGTCAAAGCAAAGGACGAGTACAAGAGGTACTATGACCGACGAAGGACTACCGCTCCCGACATCAAGGTTGGCAGCCGAGTCTGGCTCGACGCCTCGGACATCACGACAACGCGACCCTCTCGCGGCCTCTCCCACCGACGCCTGGGCCCCTTCAAAGTCACCCAAGTCGTGGGCCGAGGCGCATACAAACTCGCCCTCCCCGCCAGCCTCTCTCGCCTCCACCCAGTCTTCCCTGTGGTCAAGCTCCAGTTAGCCGAAGACGACCTGTTCCCCACTCGCCTGCGTCACGAGGAACCACCCCCTGTCCTGGGACAAGGCGAAGGGGAGGAGTGGGAAGTGGAGGAGATCCTAGACGCGAAGATGCGCTACCGGAGTGTCTGGTTTCGAGTACGATGGAAGGGCTACGACCCGTCTCATGACCAGTGGGTCAAGCACTCAGATGTGTTTGCTGACGACGCAGTGGCAGCATTTTACCGCAAATACCCTGGGAAGCCACGTGTCATCGCAGCGGCCGTATTTGACTCGCTGCCCTTCAGGGACTCGTCGACCCCCAACCGTGCCTTGCGTCGAGGCGCCGCAATCAAGAGGGGGGGTGATGTCAGGGGAACCCCTGCTTTCGTCCGATCATCATGGGATCTCGCATGTGACCGCGCACGTGCTATCTGTCAAGCGTCACATGCTTCGGTCCGGACTCCCCTGCCAAGCACGTCCACATGACACTCCAGCCCGGACCCCCATTGTTCCGACGGTCCGGCTCCCATTGTTCCCCCCGATCCAGCCCCTCATTGTTCCCTGGCCCTATTGTCTGGCGCTTCCATTGCGCTTGGTCATCCATTGTTCTGTAGGCTATATATAGTGGGCCCTGACAAGGAGAGTCCCCAACTCGGTTTCTCTTTGGACTCTCCCTTGTCAGGTTTGCCAGTCTCCTGTACTAGTTGATCCCCTTATCTGACGCTTTGGACTCTCCCTTGTCAGGACTCTGAGATCGGGCCTCGAGGTTGCCCTTACATCTTTGGCGTTCTTTTTCCATATCAGCAACAAGAAAATCGTGAATATTGGTACGTAGTGAGTCCGAGATTGTATGTGTATGTGCAGAATCGTTCATGTCTTTAATTGAAACAAGTACAGAAAATCGTCCATAGTCCGGACGCTCCACCTCCTTGGCTAGAGGAGTGGAGCGCTTCAAAAACCCTTCTCACGCAGCTTCTCGGCAATCTCCTTGAGTAACTCGTTGTCCTTATCCCCGTTCTCGATCTCTTCCAGCATTGTGGCCTGATTGAAGAACGTGCGCTTCTTCTTGGGCTCCGGACAATTCCGCGCAATGTGCCCAGGCTGCTGACAGTTGTAGCAGATGATATTGCGGCCGCGGGCATGGGTGCGATCGATTTCCATCGGGACCGGTTCGTTGGCAGCCGGCCGGGTCGGAGCAGGCGTGGGCGTCGCTGGTGCTGCCTGAGGGCGGAATTGGGGAGGAGGCCGTGGAGTCGAGTGCGCATAGGAGGCCTTACGCAGCTGATCGCGCAAAGCATTGGCCTCGATGTTGACACACCAGTTCTTGAAGGCACCATATGCCTTGGGCAGGGGAACGCCGGTGTTGTAGAGGCGGCTTGCAATTTCGCTGCTGAGTCCGCGCTCCAGGAACTCGATGAGGATATTGTCCTGTTCCCC